TATGACCCAGCAATCCCACTTTTGGGCATTTACCCGAATGATCACAAACAAGGCCACACTAAAGCTACCAGCACAACTATGTTTATTGCAGCATTATTTACCATAGCTAAGATATGGAACCAACCCAGATATCCCTCAGTAGATGAATGGATCAAGAAAATGTGGTATATGGAAAGACTTGGAAAAAATTATATTAAGTGAAGTAAGCCAAGCCCAAAAAAACATAGGTCCCATGGTTTCCCTTATTTGAAATATCTAGTATTATGTATGAGTCAAGCAGAAAAGGTCAGATAAGGTGAAGTTAGGAAAATGAACCCTAAGATATGTATTTAAATATTTTTTTCTTTCATGCATTTGTTTCTAATGCATTTATAAGATTATTTCTTTGTTGCTTTGTATGTCCCTCCCTCACATTATAACCCCTGCTTTCACTGTATTTGATGTCGGTATAATTTGTGGAGGGGAAGGGGAAAAACAAGTCATTTAAATAAGGATACAAGTGGACCCATTGCAACAATGAGAAGTACAAGTTGTCACGTCGAAAACGAACTTTACAACTTTGGTGGGGGTGGGGGAAGGATTGGGTGGGAGGGCGGAGGGTGGGGAGGCTGGGAAGGGATGGGAAGGGCAAACAAAGGAGGAGGCTACAATGCTTGATAAGAAATGTACTCATTATCTTGCCCATGTAATTGTAAACCTTCTGTAAAATATTTTCACAATTAAAAAAAAAAGAATGTCATGTTCTACAAAAGCTCAAAAGCTATGTACATCTATGACGATACTAAGCAAAATGAACCTCAAGATATGGGCACAAGAGGGTTTTAAAAATTGTTTTTAATGTACTATGTGATTTTTTTGGTTCTTTTGTATGTTCTTTCCCCTATGTATATTCCCTGTTGTCACTGTATTTGATTGTGGTACCCTGCATCTTGTATATACATTTATCTAATTTGGGGAGGGAAAGGGGAATCAAGGATAGAGGATGACCCATTGCAACAATGAAACTCACCAGAAACTACATTGGAAATGTCTTTACAACTTTGGAGGGGGGAGTAAACATGTTCAACCACAAGAAATGTACTCATTACCTTACTCATGCAACTGTAATCCCTCTGTACAGCATCTTTACAATAAAATGAAATTTTAAAAAAGAATATCCTGTTCTTTTTTAAATTCCACTCATTGGAATTCTCCTCCAAAATGGATTGTTATTTCATTTGAATGGTTTGATCTCTTTAAATGATTTCTTTTGTGGTTGTGCATCAGTAACAAACACCCCAACATTTTGCAGCTCCTCTTTCTCATGAAGATCTTGTGTTTCTTAAAGTTATTTTTTTACTATGGGTGGCATCTTAGACTTGGAAGGGACTTTGGCAAAGATCTGATTTTTAAACAAAACTCATCACAGAAATGAAGGTGATTATTCAGCTTTTGCTTAAAAATGGACAGTGGACTTTTTCCTTCAAGACAGGCTTCTTATTGAAATGAACTATTAGAAAGAAGATCAAATTTCTCTGTTGACTAGTCAAACTGATTATATAAGAGTAGAAAGGATTGAGTTTTAACACTTAGGTTATGCATGTGTGTAAAAAGTACAGGAAGAAAAATTCATGTTGGTCTCCAGATTATTTCATAGTTAGCATCAGGAAGAGAAAGCTAAAACCTAAGAAAGATTTATACCTATAATCTGAAAGGTTCATGTCTCTCTTTCCTCTAACCACAGGATAAATATGGCTCATGGCAACTTGACCTTATGGAATACTAACTTTTGATGTATAATAAAATAAATATGATTTCCATCAGTTTTTAAAGGGTCTTCCTAAACAATTTTTTATCCTGTAATAAATGTTTAAAATGATACTTACAACGTCACATCACATAATGTTTTTCAACAGCACTTTTCATGAAGGGTAAAGACTAAGCCTTATTTATCTTTGTTTCAATTGTGCCTACTAGAGACCAGGAAGAGCTCAATACCTTTCTTAAATGAATGACATAATTAAGATTTGCAGTTAGTAAAGTAAACAATCAATTGTTTGCACTAAGATTTCTTAAATAATTCTGTATTTGATATTTCTGTTTACCATTTTCAGACTAGTTGTAATATTAATATTCACTCTACTTTTCATTAAAAAATTGGCTAACATGTTTGCTTTCTTTTTTTCTTTTTTCTTTTATATTTTATTGTGAGAATATCGTACAGAGGAGTTACAATTACATGGGCAAGATAATGAGTACATTTCTTTTTTTATTGTGAAAATACTGTACAGAGGGGTTACAATTACATGGGCAAGATAATGAGTACATTTCTTATCAAGTATTGTAGCCTCCTCCTTTGTTTCCCCTTCCAATCCCTTCCCATCCTCCCCCCTGCTTTCTTTTTTTTAATAAGTTTTTATTGTGAAAATACTGTACAGAGAGGTTACAGTTACATGAGCAAGGTAATGAGCACATTTCTTATCAAGCATTGTTGCCTCCTCCTTTGTTTTTCCCCTACCATCCTTTCCTCCCATCTCCACAACTACACTCCCCCCCCTGCCCTGCCTAAATTGTAAAGTTTGTTTTTCAACAAAGCATCTTCTACATCTCATTGTTGCAATGGGTCAACCTGTATCCCTATTTAATCATTTTGTTTTTTCCCTTCCCCTCCCCAAATTATACCAACATGTTTGCTTTCTATATGCCAAATTCTTCTTGACAGTAGTTACTCTTTCCCCAACTAGTTTGTGGTGCTAGTTTTCGGTGATCATCCATACTGATTTACAGTGTCTGTAGTCACACAAGGGCACACGTGAAAACACAAAAACAAACACACAGATGCAGCCAGAGACAAAGACACCCTCCTCTTGAGCCTTACTCTAGACCAACAGTTTAAAAGTTGTCTTCACAGGGCTCAACCAGGGAGTGTCATGCTGGACGCTTGCCCCATTAATAGAGCTTGATTATAAGGCAGCAAAAGTGCCAAGCCTTTCGAGTCTGGCCGGCAGTTCTCTCACTGGAAAAACTAATTAAATACATGGACTTTCAGCAACCATAACTTCCATAAACAATGTGGCAGGGAAAGATTGTAAAAGAGTTTATTTGATGAGCTGAAGTGTACCAAAGATAAGTTTGTACATTTCATCAAAAGTTGCTTACATTTTGAACTTTCCTTCCGAAAAGTTTGCTTTGATGTCAGTCTCTTCAAACTTTTACATCAGGAAATGCAAAGAGTTTTCCTCACAATACCTGGAATGATCTGATACCAAGGCATAGAGAGTTAGCTTGTAGGAAGAAGCCGACACATGAAGATCATGCGTAAGCAAACTTCAGCTACACTAGAAGCCTGTAAAAACTCATAACATTTTGTGATTCAGATCATATACACTGCAGTGCCATAAATTTTAATGAATTTTATTTTATTTATACTCCTTAGTGATAGTGATGGCGATGGTGGTAGGTGGTGGTGGTGGTGGTGGTGGTGGTGTGTGTGTGTGTATGTGCATGAAAGAGAGAGAGAGAGAGCGAGAGAGAGAGAGAGAGAGAGATTTTCTTCTCTGAGAGTTTTTGTTTGTTTGCTGGTCCTGGGACTTGCACTCTGTCTTGGGCGCTGTCCCTGAGCCTCTTTGTGCTCAAGGCTAGCACTCTACCACTTGAACCACAGTGGCTTCTAGCTTTTTCTGATTTTTTTTTGGAAATAAGAGGCTAACAGACTTTCCTGCCTGGGATGGGTTGGAACCATGATCCTCAGAGCTCAGTCTCCTGAGTAGCTAGGATTACAGAGGTGAACCACTGGTGCCCAGCTTCTCTGAGATAGTTTTATTGATATTTAGATATTTACCCTTTCTCTTTGCAGTTCAAAATTTTCCCCCTTTACTCTCTCTTTAACTTTCTATTGATTACTAAGATTTATATATTAATCATCCGTTTACTCCCCAAAATAACTACAGGTGGTAGGGAGTTGTTAGCAGGAAATTCTGACATGTTAATCAAATCTCTTTTTAAAATTGCTATTATTTAGTAATTAAGAAGTTCTATGGGGGCTGGAAAGGTGGCTCAGTGGTAGAGTGCTTGCCTTGCATGCCTGAGGCTCTGGGTTTGATTCCTCAGCACCACATAAGCAAAAAGAAAAAAGCCGGAAGTGGTGTTGTGGCTCAAGTGGTAGAGTGCTAGCCTTGAGCTGAAGAGCTGAGGGACAGCGCCCAGGCCCAGAGTTCAGGCTGGACACCCCCCCCTAAAAAAAAAGAAGTTCTATGGTATTGTAAAGGTGTTGAGAAGATTGTGAAGGCACAGTTCTTCAGCGTGTCTTCGGAGGAGATATAGATTACAATATTTTAAAATGAAAGTCACCATCAAAGCTAGGATTATTCCAGTCCTTCAGAGGACTGAATTGTTTTGGTTCTGGTGATGAATTTCATAGTATCTTCAGAGAGTACCTATGGGAGCTGGAGTGTGCTCAGGATAATTAGGATTGCTGTGGGTCAGTACAATGACTTTACATTTCTAATTTCAGGACTCACACATCCCACAAAACACTGAGTAAGCAGGGATTTTAAATAAATGCTAATTTTCTTGGGTCAAGTAGTTCTTTCTATCTTGAATCTTGAATGCTGTTCTGCTCCTCTTCAGTTTCAACACTTTTCTTTGTTTTTCAGCTTAAATGAGACTTCCTCAAGGATACACTGTGACCTTCAGACTTGTCCAGATGATGATGATGATGATGATTTTAGAATGCACTAGAAAAGTGCCTACTTTTCTTAGTACTAGCATTTAACACAAGTATAATTACATTCTTAAAGCTATGTCTCTTCTGTTACAGAATACAAGAATCTTGTCATTTTCTTGAGAAAACATTAAATTAATAGTGATAAAGATTAAATAGCATTTGCCAAGATGTATTTTATATAAAAGCATGCTAAAAGGTAGCATCTCTTCTTTTTTTTCAGCTGGAAAGTAAAACTTCAGAAGTTTAGACAGACACACTTGCATACAGACTTTGCAACACAGATGTGTTTATTGGACTACACGCGGGTTTGTTCTCTAATCCAGTTGCGGTAGGTTGCCACTCGGGTATACACACCAGGTTTATCTGGCAGGCCACACTGATAGCCCCAGCTGACGATGCCCACCACAAACCAAAGCCTCCGCGAGTCTTCTTGTACTAGTGGGCCACCAGAATCGCCCTGAAGGAGATAAAATGGTTGATTACTTAAGGTCCTTGGCCGGAATTTGAGCCTACCCCGAATTTGATCATTCCAATAGCAGCAGAGGAAATCATACTCATTGTATCCATTGGTTTTGGAATGATCCTAACAAGTCATGGAAAAAAAATTACTGAATTTTCCAAGTAAAACAGCTTATTCTTTTAGAAGTTTTGAGAAGATGAGAAGCCCATTCATTGCCTACACTTTTTCTCAGGTTACTGCCTGGCTTTACCTACTAATCAAAGCTTTTACTAATCCTCAGAAGACTTCTCTGACCTGCTCCTTTCTGCCCCACTCTCACCCCTTCTACTCCAAAGCTAGAGAATGGAGTCCATTAGTCCACTGGCCTGGTCTCTTGATTATAGAGAGAAGGAAGTGTTGCTGTTTTGAACACTGACAGCACTCAGGCTTCTACAGAGATGTGATTCCCAGATATTCTGGGGACATGAATGTATCTCACCTCTTCAGCTATCTTTACCATCTTGTATGAGGTCTAGTGAATTGTATGTCACCAAGTGTCCTTTTGGTGAATAATGGAAAAGAAATGTATATGGCAGCAAGTAAAACACTCTTTATGGGCTATTTACCAGCCAATTATAATCTTCAACTGGCCAGCAAATATTCAAACATGTGCTAATCCAGAATTAATCACAGAATTAATCTACATGCTGTATGTAAAACATGCTAAATTTAGCATGATAGATTAATTCTGTGAGTTCTGGGGCTAGATTACCTGGGTTTGAAACTTCTTATCATCAATGTGAGCTTCAATAAGCTATTTAATAACTCTCTATGCCTCAATTTCATTATCAGCAAATAATGTTTTATTAGTTTAAATGAGTTTCATTCATAAAGTAGCCTGAATATAGCCTGGTGATTCACTACTAATAAAAATTAGCTATTATTACCAAGTATGCATCTGTAAAAGTTAGTTACTCATCTGGCTGTTCTTAGTAGTTAGTTTTTCCATGCCTTCTTAATTACTGGTCTGTATGGCAAGAAGTTGCATGCTAAGTGCTACGGGGGGTGGGGGGGGCTGATTGGCCCCTCCCTCCTTTGCATAGTGCATGTGTGCTTGGGTGAACTTGTTCCCAGAACTTCCCATCATTGTGATTTGTTTCTTGTTTCTGTTATTTTTTCTCTGGTGAAAACATCTATTTTATCATTTAAAAAGTTCATCACTTATTATAAATTCAAATACCAATCAAGAGTAATTTTATATAATCATTACAAATATCATTTTATTACTATCGTAAGATAGAATAAAAGACCAGTCCCAATATATTACCTACCTATCATTATTCTTAGTTCTTAGTCATTACCTAAATATCTTAAACAATCTAAATAGTCAAAAACATCTCTTTTAATTTAGAAGAACTGGGGTTTTTGAACTCAAGGCCTTTTGCTTGCCAGGTAGCTACTCTATCACATGTGTCTTTCTTTATCCCAGCTCTTTTTGCTTTAGTTAACTTTCAGATAGGACCAGTCTTTTTTTTTTTTTTAGCCCATGGCTGGCCTTAGCTTTTGATCCTCCAATCTATGCCTCCCCCTCCCCCTCCCATAGATGGAACCACGGCACAAACAATAATATCTGTCTTATTTGGTAAGATAGTTTTTATAACTTGTTTGCCCTAGGCTTGCTTGGAGCTATGATTCTGCTAGCCTCTGTCTCCCAAGCAGCTGGGTTACACTAATATGCCTAGATTATAGTAACAAAATTTTCAATATGATATCTTATAAAACAAATGTTCAATTAAGAGAGGAATATAATTTTTCCTATATATAGCCAGCTTTGCTGCCTGACCATGGACATTTGAGCTTCTGTTCTCTCTACTGGACCATAGACTAGGTGAGTACCAAGAATGCTTTTTTACATGGGCTTAATGAATGGAACATAGAAGATAATAAATACAATGATTTTTGGATAAGTGAATCAACAAATGAAAGAACGAGACAAATAGGATCTTGTAAGACCAAATGTAGAACATTATTCATTTACTGATGTTGTTGTTGTATGGGAGCTTGAATCCAGAGTTTCCCACTCCATAGGATTGAACACTATAGTTGAAGCCCTGCTTTTTGCTGGTTATTTGGAGGCAGAGTCTAGCAGACTTTTCTTTTTCTTTCTTTTTTTGGGAGGGGTCCGGTCGTGGGGCCTGAACTCTGGGCCTGGGCACTGTCCCTCAGCTCTTCAGCTCAAGGCTAGTGTTCTACCAGTTGAGCCACAGCATCACGGCCAGTTTTTTTCTGCTTATGTGGTGCTGCGGAATCGAACCCAGGGCCTCATGCATGCAAGGGAAGCGCTTTACCACTGAGCCACCTTCCCAGCCCAAGTCTAGCAGACTTTTCTGCATGGACTAGCCTCAAATCTTGATCTTCCAGATCTCAGGATAACAGGCATAAGCCAGGCATTCATTTATTTTTTTGTACATAAACTGAATTCATTGTAGTATTTCATTTGTGTGTGTGTGTGTGTGTGTGTGTGTGTGTGTGTGTGTGTGTTGGGCATGGGGCTTGAACTCTGGGCCTGGGTGTTGTCCCTGAGCTCTTCAGCTCAAGACAGGTGCTCTACCACTTGAGCCATGGCACCACTTCTGATTTTCTGGTGTTTAATTCCTTCCCTGGACTGGCTTTGAACCATGATCCTCAGATCTCAGCCTCCTGAGTAGTTAGGATTATAGAGCCACCAGTGCCAAGCTTATTTCATTTATTTTTTTGTACATAAACTGTATTCATTGTAGTACCTAATTACCAGTTAAGCCTGAAGGCAACCTATGGAAATTTCATGATGAGTTAGGTTTCAAAGGAACTGGGCTCAAAGGAAGAGTAGAATGTGTATACACAGGATAGAAGTAGAAGCCTAAGTGAATAAAACCTTTGTTTAACACGCAAAATACTTGGAATATATAATGTACTCCATGTATAAAGCCTTTTATATCTCATGGATGTTCTTAAATCATATAATTTATTCACTTTGTAGATCTCAAATTGTCAGTGTGTATTATTTGATTGTTGAATTCTCTTTAGAAAACTGGTAAAACTTAAAGCTTTGTTACAATAAGATGTATTCCCTGCAGGGGATGAATGCGTGAATGGGTAACTGAAAAAAATCTTTGAAATTGAGAAACAAATTGCTGCTGCACACAACTCCTTAAATGAACTATAAATAGCACTTCTTATCTACTTTTTAAAAGACTGAGTGCACATTATGAAACTCAGTAACATTTGATACAAATAATAAATCTTATCTATTTGTATATAGTTCATGTAGGAAAACAGTAGGCAATTCCTTAAAAGATGGAATCTAGAATATTTAATTAACTACTTGTTCTTGTGACTCTATGGGAGTTGAATTTCATAAATAAGGGTAAATCTGTTACTTGTTATAAGAAGCTGATATGTGTTCTTGCTTGATTTAAAATAATTTAGTTAAAAAATTTAATATTAAACCTTATTATAATTACTGTAAAATAAGTGTTTAAAAGTCATTGTTTTTCTTTATATACTCAGTTAAGAATTACAGGCTATATCCAAATAATTACTTCTTTTCCTTTATTTTCCATTTGTCCTATCACACTATTGTGGGAGCTTTTATGGTTCAAATAATTAGGATTTTGTACAAATTTTCTCTATGCAAAGTACTGTAAGAATTATTTTGTCTTGTAATTGTTGTCTATGGATCTCATGAATTATAGTCAATGTGAATTGATAATAAATTGATAAAACATTGCTGTGATTTGTGGATATAATGTGAAATAATTAAGTCAAACTGGGTAATTTCTTCATTATTTTAAAATACCTAACTTTTGTAGTATAACATTGAAAATTTACTCTCAGGAATTTTGAAATGCACAGAACTCTATTTTATGTAATAGGTATATTATATACATATTATATAATGTATATAATGACAGGCAACAGTGCTTTATTTAACCCTTAATAGCAGTTAGAGATTAGAAGTGAAGCTGAGTACCCATGACTCATGCGTATAATTCCAGCTACGGTGAAGACTGAAATTAGGAGGATCATAGTTTAAGCCTAGTCTGAGTAGAAAACTTTGAAAACTTCTTTTTTGGGGGGGGTCCAGTCATGGGGCCTGAACTCTGGGCCTGGGCGCTGTCCCTCACCTCTTCAGCTCAAGGCTAGCACTCTACCACTTGAGCCACAGAGCCACTTCCGGCTTTTTTTTCTTTTTGCTTATGTGGTGCTGAGGAATTGAACCCAGGGCCTCAGGCATGCAAGGCAAGCGCTCTACCACTGAGCCACCTTCCCAGCCCCTGAGCAGAAAACTTTGTGAGACTCATTTCCATGGAGGGAACCTAGACATGGGTTGTTTTATCCCAGTGACAATGGGAAGCCTAAACGTAGGCAAACCACAGCTCAGGAATAGTTCAGGAGTCAAGATTCTATCCTAAAAATGACCAGTAAAAACCAGCCTGGAGGCATGGCTCAATGAGACTTGTGTGAGTCCCTGAGTTCAAACCTTGATACTTCTGAATGTGAAAATAAAAATAAAAATGGATGTTTTCATGACAGATAAAATTCATAAGAGAATTTTGTCTCTAAAATTTAATCATAAATTTTCTTGAGGATCAAGCTCTCTATTTACTGCATCATGTTAGTAAATGCTTATCATCTCCCCAGATTATAATACTGACAGGTTGTTCTGAGCTTACCTGGCATGCGTCCACTCCACCTGTAGGTACCCCAGCACAGAGCATTCCAGAAAGGACAGCTCCATTATAAGCAGTTGGTGCATTGCACACAGTATTACTTATTATTCTGACCTGTCCTTGCCGTAGATCTGAGACTGTGAAGCCTATTAACACAAAAGCAGAAGTAAAATGGATTTCAAAACATATCAATTGGCGATTCAGCTGATTTCCAGAAAGGAAAACATGCACCTAACCTTATTGCCTAATTAGAATGTTAGATATACATGGAAGAGTCTTCCTTGTAATGGTTCCCATTGGGGAGAAGGAAAGTCCCTTTACGTAGATGAATTTTTCTTTTTCCCTCTCTGGCACCAATTTTGTGATACACTGACCCTTAGTCCTTTGCTGAGGAAACTCAGTGCTAACAGAGCTCAAGTCTAACCAGAACACAGGATGGTTCTATCTAGAAGAACTTGTCTTTTATATAATGGCTAAGAAAAGAATATTTTTGTTGTTAAGTTACTTGGTTTCATTTTCCCTGACACACTTACCACCGTAAGTAAGAGCTCCCCATCCTGTTACATACGCAGTGGAACCAGGCACTGTATTCATCGTGGGTTCTGGGAGACACACGCTGTGGATATCTTTGGTGAATGTTATAGCTGTGTTGAGTTGCACAACTGCAATATCATTTTCTTGGGTTCCAGATCTGTAATTATTATGGACTACAATTGTCCTTATTCTTGCTCGACGTTTCGGAAATATTGTAGAAGCACCAAAGGTGGCAGTCCACTGTTGAGGATTAGAGTAGCTAAAAGAAGAAAGAAAAGAAAACATTCTATTCAAATGGGTATTTGTTAGCACTTCCAGTGTTTGAGCTTTGTATTTGCCATTCCCCACTGTCTAGGCACTACTTGATGACTGTATTTTTTGCTATATTTTCTTGCACTCCAAGTTCATAATTCAATGAACTTTTTACTGGCAGAGGGATGCTCATGTACCTAAATAAAGAGAGAGATGTTAGAAAACGTGTCTTAGAGTGATAACTATTATGGCATTTTTCATATTCCAACAGGAAATCCTAATACTGTTAAGATAGCTAGTATAATATATAATCTCTACTTTGATGGCTCCCTTCTCTATGCCCCCCCCAACCAAGCAACTAAGAATTCTGAAATAATTACCATTCTCATTTCAACTTGTGTTTTCCTTCCTTCCTTCCTTCCTTCGTTCCTTCGTTCCTTCCTTCCTTCCTTCGTTTCTTTCCCTCTTTCCCTTCTTGCATTATCTTCCTTTCTTTTATTTTCAGAAAGTATAAGGAATAGGACTTAGACCATAATACTCCTGCTTATGCCTCCTGGATAGCTGAGATCACAGGCATGAGTTTATGTGTTGAGATGAAGGCTCATTGACATTTTGCCCAGGCCCGTCTCAAACTGTAGTCCTCCTTATCTTGACCCCCAATTGTTGCAACTGTAGATGTCTATTACCATATCCAGAATTAACACATTATTTTCTATTTTCATTTTCCCCTTTGTTTTTTCTTTTTGCTTAGTAGTGATAATAAGAAGCATCTTATTAATTAATAATTTTCTGTACTAACACTGATGCTTATTATATGTGTATATATTATATTTATGGAGATATACATGTATATCTCCATATTTATATAGAGGAAGATAAGGTGGGAGAGACATAGAGAGCAAACTAACATAAAAATGTTAGGAATTGAACTTTAAAATAAACCCTCAAAGCCCATACCATAAGGTTAAAAATAAATTTCATTAAAAATAAGAACATAATACTCAGATGAATGAGAAACCATGAGAAAATATTAATAATGTTCACTACTTAAAATATTTTATATAATATATACACATGTTTGTAAACCAATAAGAAATGGTAAAATGAAAATCCATCATAAATGATAGTTGGGTTTGATTAGGGCCCAGAATCCAGTCTGGTATACTAATTTTCACAGGAAATTCATAGAAAGAAAGATCAAGCAGCCTTGGATGTATGGGAAACTACTTATGCTCACTGGTGGTCAATACATAGGAACCATAACAAAGAAATAGGACCTATAACTATAACTTACACTCACTGGTAGTCAAGAAATAGGAACTATAACAAAAATATTCCTAATATATATTAATATGAATCATAAAAATTAAACAGGATAAAAATATCAAGTGTTTGTTGGTAGGGGAGAATATGTGTTCATTTTCATTACTGATGAAGATGTAAACATTAATATTTTGATATACTTATCTGAATATGTATGCATGAACTTATGGGTACATGTCTTGGAAAAGTTCCATTAGGTTATACAAAGGCATGCATGAAGGTTTTGTTTATATGTATATGTGTATCTGTGAGTATGCATATGCCCAAACCTGTGTATGTGTGCACATGTGTATGTATGGGTATGTAAGAATATGTGAAATTCAGTATGTGCATGCCTGTGTGTGTGCTTATGCATGTGTATGAATGCATATGTGTGTGTAATTGTATTGTATACCATAATGGTATATTATTATGTGAAACAGAGAGCTACCAGCAAATTAATAAGTTAAGGAACAGCATTTTCGCTTCCATGCATAGGAAGAAAAGACTTTTGGACACAGAATTTTTCCTGGCTCATTCCAATTATATTTAGTGCTGAGGTTGGTGGGTGAAGTCATTCTATCCATGTCTATTCTAACTTTTCCCAGATGGGAGATGCTGTGACCAGCCACACCTTCTGAAGCAATGAGCTGCTGTCAGGATCCATGTGTTACTGATCAGGATGCCTCCACAGTGATGGACGTTATTGACATGTAAACTGACTTGCCAGGGCCAATCACCATCCTCAGCCAGAGTGCCTCCAATGATCCTCTCTTCTGACAGTGTTAACAGGTCTGGACGGGCCCCACATGCTAAGGACAAAAGGATATTACCGTGCTGGGAAGACCATGAAGTCGTTATGTATGGGAGATGGTGACAGTTTCTCCATCACTTAACACTTTAATGTCTTTTATGTATTTTTCCCCCAAGACACGATCAACATGTTATCATTTTAGAGTACATCTGTGACCACTGTAGTTGTCTATTGACTTCATTCTAGAAAATATTTCTGAACATCATTGGCATTGGGGCTCCAAGTTTGACACCGTCTTTAAAGACATCTGGAATGTCTTGTGATGAGGTTAAGATATGTCAGTGCTGAAGTTGCCAGTTTAGGCCACAGACTCCTGGGAAATTTTGCTTATCTCTTAGGACTTGCGAGGTGCATACACACCTTAAAGTTGGAGAAAAAGTAGCATCATGGAGACCTGGACTTAAAGGTATTTTAGCTCATCATGGAGGTTCCAGTTCTCAGAGTCAAATTCACCCTTTGCCCTCACTGGAATGGAGTTGCTGTAGTTCCACTGAATATTCTGTAGGCTAGGGTAACTTGAGGTATTTAGTTTCTAGAATCTATGTTTATTTAAATGCTTTAAGACACCTAATACACTGCAGTTTGTGGGGGTGGGGTGAGCTAAGCACTCAAATCCTATCAATTTCAATTCCTATCATTCTTTTCCCTCTTGTTCAGTTTTTACTAAAATAATTAGAGGTAGGGGCTGGGAAGGTGGCTCAGTGGTAGAGCACTAGCCTTGAGCTGAAGAGCTGAGGGACAGTGCCCAGGCCCAGAGTTCAGGCCCCACAACTGGACCCCCCAAAAAAATCAGAGGTAAACTGCCAATAAGCATTTCTATTGCTGACTAGCTTCCAACCATTCATAGGCATATTTTAAAAAATAAATTTTGGGGCTGGGAAGTTGGCTCAGTGGTAGAGTGCTTGCCTCGCATGCATGAGCACCACATAAGCAGAAAAAGCCAGAAGTAGCACTGTGGCTCAAGTGGTAGGGTGCTAGCCTTGAGCTGAAGAGCTGAGGGACAGCGCCCAGGCCCAGAGTTCAGCCGTCACGAATGACAAAAAAAAATTTCTCAGATGGAGGAGTATCAGAATTCAATTAAGAACTTATATGGCTATGTGACTGTTAGATCTAAAATATAAACACATGCATATTTAAGGCAAAGGCATATACACATGTATACGTACACACATACATATACGTATATGCATACGTGATCAAACTGACTAAAGTATACTATATACACAGGGGTGGGTTTTCATGGTATAACCCCTTTGAACAATTCAAGAAAATAAATATTAGGAAGCTGAAATATGTCTTGACTTAGAAGGGTGGAGCATAACAGGAAGAGGGTGCAGATGAATGGGGAGAGAAATAGTAGTTGAATATAGTCCTAATATACAATGTACATACGTGTAAATAGAACTAGGAAACTTGAGACAGGTGAGGAGATGGTATAGTTGGACAGGGCAGTATGATAAAAAGGATGAGCCTGATACATATACATTGTACACAAAAGTAGACACATTAATTTGAACCTCTGTATAATTTTTTTTTTTTTTTGTCGACCGTGGGGCTTGAACTCTGGGCCTGGGTGCTGTTCCTCAGCTCTTCAGCTCAAGGCGAGCGCTCTACCACTTGAGCTACAGCGCCACTTCCAGTTTTTTGGTGGTTTATTGGAGATAGGAGTCTCACGGTCTCTCCTGCCCGGGCTGGCTTTGAACCGCGATCCTCAGATCTCAGCCTCCTGAGTAGCTAGGATTACAGGTGTGAGCCACCAGCTCCCAGCCTCTGTATAAATTTTTGAAGATGATATAATAATAATAAACAGAATATGCATGGAACACAAATTCTCTTGTTGCATTCCCTAGACAAATTCCCTGATAGATCTATTAAATACAGTTTTATTCAAAGTAAACATGAATTAAATATAGAATGAAATTGTGCCCATTAGGCTAACATAACCTTGCAAAATAGCTCAAATATCTAAGATAGACTAGCAATCTAGGCATACTGAACTTATTGCTTCATCTTTTCAGTTAGACAGGTAAGTTGATTTTTCTAGAGATTTTATTTCTGGTATCCTGTCATCATATAGGGAATGACATTAGAAAACAGTGATTTTTTTTTCCCCCTTGAGGCGTTGGTTCTGACTAACTCAAACCTACAACAAAGCAAGATCTTGAGGTGGTTAGGAAAAGCTACTAACTTGTATTCTTAAGCATAATTTACAGGTTTACAGAAATACCTCCACAGAACCCAGGCAGAAAATGCTTCTCAAAACTGCCAAGAATATTTCCATAAGGTAAATCTTAAGAATCATATGGGTGGGACTCTATTCAACTTCATTATTTTTATTTATTTATATATTTGTTTGTTTATATGTTTATTTTACAATTTACTTCAACCCATTATCTTTTTTAAGAGGAAAAAAATAACTTAACTACCTGTTCCTGAGACAGCAGTGTCTTGTTTTAACAACACATATGAGTGATCTCAGAATAAAGGCTCTACTTTTATAGCTTCTTATCTTGGCAAGAAACACAAAAGGCCTAGACTTTAACTCTTTATACTTTGCCAAAGTATATTTTTAAAATAACTTAAAAACTTACCTTGAGTGAAAATATTTTCTGTATCCTGGGATGTAATTGCTATTATTAAAGAAAAAAGAGTGAGATGATCAATAGAATATGAACTAAAATTCATTTCAACTTGATTTCTTAAAGTGGAATATTCAAACAACTGCACTCAGAACCAATAGTATATTTTGAAATTCCTAGTCCTAGGCTCCATCCTGAACCAGTTAAACCAACCTGAGTCATGTACCCCAGAAGTCTGTGTTACCATTTTGCCTTACAATTTATTATTGTGCACGTTGTTGGTACTCAAAATTTCTAACCAAACACGTGAAACATTTTCTTACTCCCAAGTCATTTTAGTTGGAAAAGGAAAGCCATATGCAAGTCATTGAGATGCAATGTGATAAATATTATGTGATGTTTATTGTACATTTGTTAGAAAACTCCTGTTTGTGTAAGTTGATATAGATATTAACTCTACTGATACTCTTAAATGCTCCAAATTTCACAATGAGCAAAAGGGAGGAGGTTTGTACACACACCTTTTACCGACAAGATCATTTCAAATAAATTCCAATACCAAAAGAGTAACAATGTTACTGGAGTGTACCAGTGCAGTTAAAATGGAAGAAACATTTGAGATGGAGAAAGTAAAGTTTCCACTGTATGTTGAAAACTTAAAAGGAAAATTTCAGACAGACAGGAAGGCACAAGGCCATTCCAAATAGAAAGTGTAGTGCACTAACACATGCTATTGGTAGGGGCACTGTGGAAAGCCTGGGAAGGAAACCACATAAAGATCTCATGAAGAAAGTCTGTGTAGACCCGTTCAAGGTCTGTGCCCCACAGTTTTCTCTGTAGGTCCAGAATTCATCTCACATTCAATTTCATCCAGAATTTGCTGCTTATATTCTGTTTCCCTCCCTTAGCAAACCACCTCCACAGGCAGACAAAAGTGGTGTAAGATTTCCCCTCTGTTACCATTTTTACCTGGTCTCCAGGTTCTATGGCTTCTGTCTCCTTATAACTAGCTCCATCCTCTTCCCTTTAGCTATGGTGTGCTTTCATCATTCCACATCAGTGCTGTGATAATAACCCTTGAGTATCTGGTTGCTTTTTTAATTAATCTACCTAAGCTTTACAAGGATTTTTTTCCTCCAAAAATCATGTATGTCAAATTATATCCTTTCATATTTGAACTTCAGAAGTGAGAAACCAATCTTCTTATTCCTTAAAAAATAAATCTAAATTTCTAATGACAGGTTTTCATGATGTTTAAAATCAATTAATTCAACATTTTTCTTAGGTAGAAATTTTCACAAAGATGCGTTTGCTTTATAAGTATTGGTGAACCAATTTATCCTTTCAGAAACAGAAAGTGAAGAGCTGACCATGTTTTATTCTTTGAAAAAGAGAAATGAGTTTGAATTCTGATTGCTCCTGACTGCCCATGCTGAGTGGGCAGAAAAGCTTAGGCAGAAACGTTTTCAAGTCTCCATCTCCAATTATCCAGTATAATACTGGTTGGAGGTATGGCTCAAGGGATAGAGCACTGCTCATGAGCAAGCAAGCTGACTGAGCATGATAGCATGAAGCCCTGAGTTCATACCCTGGAAGAACTACCAGCATGGGGGTGGGAGGGAGAGGGAAAGAGAGAGGAAGAGAGAGAATGAGAAAGAGAGAGAGAGGGAGAGAGGGAGAGAGAAAGACAGGGAGGAGGAAGGCCTGGACAAGTACCCTTCTCTTTAATGAGGACAATTTGGGATATCATAGCAAGAATTGAATAGAGGTCAAAAATAAATAAATAAAGCACAAAAGGCATTCAAAGTTCTACCAAGAAAATGTGGAACTTTTTCTCAAAGAAATGTTTTAATGAGAGTGATGAGTATAAAGATAGCATCAAAAAGTCTACAATTACTTTTGCTTTTCTCTCTACCTTGTTCTGCTAAGCATCATGCTTATAACAGATCTTTTGCAATTTTCTTTCTCTTTTCACATCCTACTTATCCTACAGAGTCAGTCTATTCACTCTCTTTCATGGAGAGATATGGAAGATTATAATACAATATTTGTTCTCCTGGATTCCTGTAGCATTCACTGTACTTGATCATACATTCTCTCTCTTTCTCTCTCTATTCTCCCTTCCTTCTTCTTCCTTCCCTCCTTCTCTCTCCCACTCTCCTTCTCTTCCTCTTTCTTTTCTTCTTCCCCTTCTTCCCTCCCTCCTCCCTCCCTCCCTCCCTCCTTCCTCCCCTCTCTCTCCCCCCGTGTTGGTAGCTGGTACTGGGGCTTGAACCCAGGGCCACATGCCCTCATGCACAGTTGGCTTGCTTGCTCATGATTGGTGCTCTACCACTTGAGCCACACCTTCTGACCAATGTTATGCTGGCTAATTGGAGATGGAGTCTTGAAAACTTTTTGCCCAAGCTGAGATTCTCCGTTTCTCAGCCTCATGAGTCATAGGCACCTGGCCATCATAAACTCTCTTGACTGTCAATTCTGCTATCTTAATCATTATTTTGTGATTCAGGTATCTTTTGTTTAAACTAAATTATAAGACCCTGTATTGCCAGCTTGTCTAGCACAACGCTAAACAAGTAACAAGCATTTGAAAAGTACCTTCGGAAGAATTCTTTGGCATGTAGGAGCAGAGTTATTACTCCATTATTTGATAAACCTAAGGTTTATTAATAAAATCTGTGAGCATTGTCAGCCAGAACTCAGTGAGGGATGTGGAGTTGGAATGCTCTCTTGAAGTTCTTTCCTGCTAAGCATCAACTTTTAGTTGCAGGGTGGGAAATGGGAGGCTGGGAAAGGAGAAGGCAACATTCAGAAAACCTAGGAAGAAAGCTTTGGGAATAAGAAAGCATTCAGATATTTGAACTAGTATTGCAATAGCACACATCTACTAGTTTAGTGCTGGAGTCATGAAACTCCTTCCAATTTTGAGTTTATTATGATGAAACTGTGGCTTCTTCAACTAGCAGTAAAGTTGGAGAGTATCCTTTGTTAAGAAATTTATGCAACAATTAGCTACTGAACCTCAGTTATAAACTAGATACTATGTCATAGGACAGTAGGTGAATAAAGACATGGCTGTTCTTGTATTTAGGATGCTTATAGAGTAGGGTGAAGCCAGCACAACAATTATGCAAATTAATTTCATTTTCAATTGTGATGAATGTGATGAAGGAGAATGTAGTCTACATGATGGGCCATTAATTAAATTGCTCTTTGACATTGGGCATCTATCTGCCTTTCCTATAGAAGGTCCACAGATTAAACATCTGATAATCACATCTCTCATAAAGAGTGTTGGGGTGATGATCAAGAATGAATATTTTTAGCAAATAAAAATTTGTCATAGGAATGTTGGATTAGTCTGTAAATCTTAGAATGATGATTATCAAAAGGACAAAAACTTGACAGGTGATGAGGATATGGACAATATGAGAATGTAAGTTAATGCAGTCATGGTGGAAAATGTAGAGTTATCTGTCCCACCGTGGTCCAGCTCTCCGACTACCAGGTACATGTCCAAGGAAAGGAAACTAGTTGTAACAGAGATGTCATCATCTCATATTATTACAGCACTTTCTCAACACCCAAGATAAGGAACAAGCTTGGCATCTATAGAGAAAGGAGAGGGGAAAGTGGAGTATATAAATACAACAAACTTATTCATCCATGAGAAAGAACACAATTCTATTTGCAGCAACATAGAACTAGAGAACATTATGTTAAGTGAATATATGTCAGCCACACAAAGACAAATACTCCATGCTTTGTCTTACATGTGGAAGATATAAAAAAGAGAATAGAACATTTTTTTTTAAAAAACCAGGATTTGGGAAGGTGTGGGAAAATGAAGGATAAAGAGAAGATGGGAAATGACTTGTCATCCAGCAAAGACAGAGTAACCATAGGTGGTGATAACAAAATGAGTATCTTAAGAGAGCTAATCCAAGAACTTTAAATATCTCCAACACAAAGAAATATACGTCTGAGGTGAGAGACTTGCCAGTTTCCCTGCTCTCATCACTGACTGTATATACATACATTGAAATCCCATTGTGTCCTATATATAGGTGTTGTTTCTATAGGTGAATTGAAAAAAAGAAAACAACCCACATATTTATATTTAAAAGCATTTTCACACTTTTCTTATGTATTTGTGAATAACCCAAACAGGAATTATTATTAACATTTTTATAAGGGGAGAAAACTAAAACCAAAAATCTTAAAGCTGAACATCTTAGGTTAAAGGACCAACCTGGTTTATACACTGAGTTTGCATTTCTTTTTGTGTTTTCACATACAGCACTCAAAGCAAAATAGTAAACACACACACACACACACACACACACACACACACACACACACACACACACACACACACACACACACCTCACCCTCCAAAAAACCACAAAACAAAAAAAAACCCACAAAAACATTTGATTTGTTAAAAGGCAAAAAATTCAATATATAATCTGAAAATTAAGAAAAGTGAGGGAATGGGTAGATTGGGAGGGGTGAGTGAGAATGTTGAAAGGGGTAACATTGATCGAGATGTACTTTATTCATAAACTGCTTTTGCAAATGGTAACTCCTTTGTACAATTAAAGATAATAAAACTATTCAAAAAGTAAGTTAAAATACTTTGCCCTCACATGGACCCTAGGAAACACTTCCTACTTTGAAATTATTCAATTTATGAAAAAAAGATGCCTAAAAATATACAATAACACTTGGAGTTAAAAAAATCTTAAAATACTTGCTTGTTATCCCAGGTGAGGAGTGAATTTCCAGGCCTCCAGAGTTATTCAGCATTTTCTGTAAGATAGCTTGAACTCTGCCTTTCATTGAGTTTCCATCGTTACGTTTGCTGAACCGGAACTTCATGACAACATCTGCGGTCACCCCACTGCCAGACTGTCTGTCAATTGTATAGATGTAGGCAATGGATAATTATGATGGCTTCCTATTCTGTAAGTTTTCTTCTTGATTCAATCATTTCTCAAAAAAAAAGAATTCTCTAGAAGACTTGACCTGTAGAACAGATCTACCTAATGATGTATGCATTTGCAATGTTAGATCGCAGTGCTATACCCCAAATTTGATTTCAGTGTACATGGTACTCCACCCATCATACAGCACAGCTGACTTTTATGCCTATCTGCATTTTAACCCTCTGATTTTTTTGAGGTAACCAAGTTTATGAATCTCTCTGCACCTGGGTGTTCTCACATGTAAAATGAATTGTTATGAGGATTGTACAAATTAATACATAGATGACTTGCGGGAAGAGTGCATAGCATACAATAAGAGTTACAATAAATTCTAGCTACTATTAGACTTTGGCAATCTGACAAAAATCCTCATCTCTAAACAAACTTATAATGTGATGAGGTTTCAAATTTATATGAGTAAGAAATGAGGTAAATTTCTAGTATATGGATCCATTTATCTAGCTAAAGCAGCAAATTTTAACAGAAAAATAAACTTGGAGAGAAAGGATTCTTAAAAGAAATTTTATAATTGATAATGACTGATGCTATAAATAAGACTTGCATACAAGAAAAATATAATCACAACTCAAATTAGAACCTATAAGTACATAGTTCCTGTAAATAAATAAGGAAAAGACCAGTATACAATAGAAAAACAGAAAAAAATGAGAACATGTGATGAGGGATTCAGAGAGAATGGTAAAAATTACAAATAAATGCTCAAGTGGTATTATTTTATACCAGTTAATACCAATTGATCTGTCAAAGAAGCACTGTTATTATTATAAGAAACAGGCACAAAAAGTCAATAACCTGTCCATAGTGACACATATTTTGAAAATCAACATTTGAAAATGGGCTTTAAGCAGTTTGACTTTAAAAAGTATATGTTTTATCCTTTATTCTAAACCACCTACTGGCAGGTTTAGGATTAAGCCACAGCTTACATATTAAATATTAGTGAGGATATTAAGCAATAATGTCTTTATGATTGAAATGTAAATTTTCATAACTACTTTGGAAAGTACTTTATCAATATCTAGTAAAGTTAAAGATTCTCAAATCTCAAGATCTAGGAATTGTACTTCTAGCTATATCTTCATGATAAATCCTTTCATGTGTGCACATGTAAGGAGTGTTGGCCAATTAAGTAGAGTATTGAAAATGAAATGCTGAATGGATGAACAGTATGTTTGTTCAATAATAAATGAATATGCAGTCATTAAAATGAATCAACTGGATTTAACTACATTAACATGGATTCACATAGAGAAATGTTAAGCAAACTTACTGGAAGATGCTCTGTGTGGAGTTTGTTTAAAAAGTATTTCTGTCTGCTACGTAGAAGGTGAAATGGGGTGAGACTGGAGTTAAGGAAATTTGTTAGGAGGCTGTTATGGCCCAGAAGACAGAAGGATGATGGTATTATGGTACAAGAAGAAAGTTACAGAGCTGGGAAATATTTAGGAATATATTAAAGTTGAGCTATCTCAAATGCATCCATATCATGATTATGAAGTAGATGGGTCTGTATAGTCACATCTAGAGATCAAAGAGGACTGTCTGACTGGCCCCAAATGGAGTAAAACTCCTGAGAAGAGAAAATGTGAACTGAGAGAATATGTATGGCTCACAACATACATTGATATTCAATATTTGAGGAATGTACAGAGAACACAAGGAAATTGAGAAAGTAGCCAGAGAAGAGGAACACGTAAAGTGTCCTAAAAACATGAGACCACTCCCTCCCTCCTTCCCTCCCTTCCTGCCTTCCTTCCTTCCTTCCTTCCTGCCTTCCTGCCTTCTTGCCTTCCTGCCTTCCTGCTTTCCTGCCTTTCTGCCTTCCTCCTTCTGCAACAAGGGCTCAATATGTAGCTCTTTCTGATCTTGAACATAGTCTTTAGGTCAGGCTGGCCTCAAACTAGCAGGTCTCTTGTCATTGCCTCTTAAGTGCTAGATTAGAGGTGTATGCTGTCACAGCCAACAAGAAATATTTCCAAGATAGACCAAATGTGCCAAATATTATTGAGAAATCTAAGAGGAGGACTAATATGGCTTCTTTGGGTTTGTGTTTTGGATGCTGTTGTTGAACTAGATGAAAACAGTTTGCTTTTTGTAGTGTGATCAAATGCCAGATTGTCATGGATGGAGGGTAAATATGAAGTGAAGTAAAGGAAAGAAGATGCAAGAGGCTCATTTGGTCTTAAAGTTTTGGAGATTTAAACCACTGAGCTTTAGGAGCTAGCACAAAGCCAATCACAGTAAAGTACTAAATGGAATATGAATTGAACTGATACATTTTAGAAAACAATCTTCCCATAGATCCTTCCTATTCATATAAATTTTCACCAGAACTTTGACAAGAGCTATGTGCTTATTTTTTTGTGTGGTGTTAATACTTGAGAAAGAATATGATCCCGCTTTTGGCCAAAAAACCTTTTCATATTTTATTTGAAAGATCAAGCAATGTGGGAAATTTAGGACATTTGTGGGAGGTTCAATCTAGGTGAGTATTTTAGTTGAGAAGGGTTATTTCATCAAATCAAATGAACAAGTATCTATTTAACTAACATAGGAATGGCAAAGTCTTGCAAAGAATTCATTCTGCTGTTCCTTCTTATTATTAGTCCATCACTAGTGTCAAGGATTTAGCCACATGTCCTTTTATTATAGCATTCAAGGCAGATGAAATCTGAAAGCCGCTTTTGAGTTGGCCCTGGTGTCCTGATTTGGATGAAACCACCCAAGGCCAGAGCATTGTGCAACTCCACTAGGCAGTGTTACAAAGACAGCATTGTGGGTGCCACCCACTGGTTTTATATAATAGAATGGTTCTTTTACTATGCGATCACTTCAATTTTCCCTGCACTGCTTTTTCTCCCATTAGGAACTCAAATACTATATGATTATTTACATTAGTAGCCAAATAAATCACGCATGATTTCTTTTATTATAAAGGTGATGTACAAAGGGCTTACAGTTACATAAATAAAGTAATGAGTACATTTCCTTTTGAACAGTGTCACCTCTTCCCTCATTTTGTACATGGTATTTTTGACCTTATTTTTGGTTGTTATTTGTTTTTGTGCTGGTCCTGGGACTTGAACTCAGAATCTGGGTGATGTCCTTGAGCATTTTTGCTTATGGCTAGTGCTCTACCACTTGAGCTACAGCTCCACGTCTAGTTGTGTGTGTGTGTGTTGTATTTAATTGGAGATAAGCATCTCATGGACTTTCCTGCCCAATCTGGCTTCAAACTGCTTTCCTCAGATCTCAACCTCTGGATTAGCTTGAGTTACAGACATAAACCACCAGTGTCCAGCTTAACATTTTTTTGGGGGGGGGTCCTGTCATGGGGCCTGAACTCTGTGCCTGGGCACTGTCCCTCAGCTCTTCAGCTCAAGGCTAGTGCGCTACCACTTGAGCCACAGCGCCACTTCCAGCTTTTTTCTTTTTTGCTTATGTGGTGCTGAGGAATCGAACCCAGGGCCTCATGCATGCAAGGCAAGCACTATACCACTGAGCTACCTTCCCAGCTCCTTAACATTTTTAAGGTGCCCTATTTTCATGCTATTTCATACTATTATATTATATTGCATGAGCATGTCACTTATTATCATTGCTGTGAACCGAAGTCAAGTGTGTCAAATTGCATCTATGCTTACATAGTTTTTAGTATAGTTTCACTCACCTCAGTTTGACAACATGGGCTCTGATGAACTGCTTTCTTAAATTTGATTCTTTGAATACATTAGTAATCTATAGAAAGAAGGAAGAGAAGAAACCTTTGTAATTACAGTTGCTCCTTTCTTTTCTCCCAGCTTTCTGCAACCTGAGGCTTCTCTTAATGAAGAATAGAGAATAAATTTTCAGCTGAGTTCAGCTCAGATTCATCACAAAGCATGGGATTGATTCAAGTAGGTCAGACTAAACAGTTGCTTTGAAAAGTATTTTTTTTTTCTGGAGAAACCTTAAATAGAAATAAGACTAATAAAACCAAGTCAGGTGCTGGAGGCTCATGTCTAATCTGAAGCTAATATAGAAGCTGAAATTGGTTTTTTGTTTTGTTTTTTAAGTTTTTATTTTGTCAGTCGTGGGGCTTGAACTCTGGGCTTAGGTGCTGTCCTGGTGCTCTTCAGCTCAAGGCAAGCGCTCTACTGCTTGAGCCACAGTGCCACTTCTAATTTTCTAGCTGTTTATTAGAGATAAGAGTCTCATGGACTTTCCTGTCTGAGCTGCCTGGGCTGAACCGTGATCCTCAAATCTCAGCTTCCTGACTAGCTAGGATTACAGGTATGAGCCACCGGTGCCTGGCTTTGAAATTGTTTTTGAAGCTATTATGAATGGGATTTAAAAAAATATGTATCTTTCTCTGACTCTTTGTTTCTGGCATATAGAAAAGTTATTGAGGGTCAATATTATAGAAGTACATTATATATATATATATATATGTGTGTGTGTGTGTGTGTGTGTGTGTGTGTGTGTATATGTATAAAGACAGCATAATAAAACCTAACAAACTTGCTAAAAAGGAAGGGGGAAAATGAAAGAATGGCAGTATTGATGGGGTAAATCTGATCATAATACATTGAATGCTTGAATTTGGCAGTATATCCATCCGGTCCTGGGATTTCTTTTGTTTGTTTGGAGACTATATAACTAATTTAATGCCATTGCTTATTATAGGCTGGTGTAAGTGGTTGACACGAATTTATCCATAAATATTTTCTATTTCTTCTAGAGTTTCCAGTGTATTATAATATACTGGAAATTAATCTGTAATGAGCTTCTTCGTTGGTATTTGTTATCATCTATAATTTTATTAATTTTGAGCTTTTCCCTCCTTTTGATTAATGTGGCTAAAGCATTGTCAGTTTTATCTTTTCAAAGAACTAACGTTTTGTTTCATTGATTCTTTGTAGATTCATAGGAATCTGTGAATGTTTGGTGGTCTTTACAGCCTCATAACATCCACAAATAGATTTAGTTTTCTTCTTTTTCCATTTTAGTTATTCCTCCATCTTGTTGTTGTTGCTAAGAACTCAAGCACTATAGTGAATAAGAACAAAAAGAGTGGGCACTCTTGTTTGGTACCTGACTTTATTTTCATTATTTCTTTTCCCGTATTTATTATTTATTTCTGCCTATTAATTTGGGGTATGGCTTGGTCTTGTTTCTAGCTGTTAAGCTAGAAGTGCATCATTATGTCATTTATTTGTCATCTGTCTTTTTTTGGGGGGGGGTCTGGTCGTGGGGCCTGAACTCTGGGCCTGGGCACTGTCCCTCAACTCTTCAGCTCAAGGCTAGCACTCTACCACTTGAGCCACAGCGCCACTTCTGGCTTTTTTCTTTTTTGCTTATGTGGTGCTGAGGAATTGAACCCAGGGCCTCATGCATGCAAGGCAAGCACTCTACCACTGAGCCACCTTCCCAGCCCCTCATATGTCTTTTTTTAATTGCAGGTACTCTTAGATATAAGCTTGCTTCTTAGTACTACTTGTGTTATATTCCCAAAATTATGATATGTTATATTTCCATTTTCACTTAATTCTAGAAATTTTTTATCTACTCCTGTTATTCCCTTGATGACCCACAGATCATTCAATCAATGACAATCAAACAGTCATTTAATCAATGAAAATTTTTAAGAAAGACTTCTCAAGCTGGGCACCAGTGGTTCACACTTGTAATCCTAACTAATCAGGAGGCTAAGATTTGAGGGTGGGGTTCAAAGCCAGACATGGCAGTAAACTCCATGAGACTCTTATCTCCAATTAACCACCCAAAAAGTTGAAAGTGGAGCTGTGATAGAGCACTAGACTTGAGCACAAAAGTTCAGAGACAGTGTTCAGGCCTTAAATTGAAGTCACCAGAAAACTAACAAAAAAAAATCAAGAAAAGAGAAAGGCATCCCATTTTGAAGTCCTAAATAAATAAAATGTATATTTATTCAGAGCATTGCTAACCATTTTCACTCATAGCATAAGACAATGTGAATAAGAAAAACTGACTCATAAAAAGTACAGAGAAGCCAGGCACCAGTGGCTCAAGTCTTTAATCCTAGGTACTCAAGTGGCTGAGATTTGGAAGGTCATCATTAGAGAACAGCTTGGAAAGAGAAGGAAAGAGAAATCTATTGCACTCTATTTCCAGACTAATCACAAAAAAACAACAACAGGCTTGAAGTGTAGTTCAAGTGGTAGAGAATCAGCATAGAAAGTTCCAAGGGTAGAGTGTATTTGTGGAGGTGGGAGGGAATGGATGGTAGGGGAAAAACAAAGGCGGAGGCAACAATCCTTTATAAGAAATGTACTCATTACCTTGCTTTTGTAACTGTAACCCCTCTGTACAGTATTTTCACAATAAAAACTTACTAAAAATAGAAAGAAAAAGAAAGAAAGAAAGAAAAGAAAAGAAAGTTCCAAGGCTTTGAGTTCAAATGAGAGTACACTAAATTAAATAAATAAAAAGACAAAGAAAAGGTACAGAGACTAATGTAGCAGTGATACTCACTAGACACTGTGTTAAAAAGAACTGTACATTGGGGCGGAGGGGGGAGGCTGTGAAGGGATGTGAAGGGTAAACAAAAGGAGGCTGCAATGCTTGGTAAGAAATGTACGCATTATCCTGCCCATGTAATTGTAACCCCTCTGTACAGTATATTCACAAATAAAATAAAATAAAAATAAAAATAAAAAAAGAACTGTACAACCTGTGAGGGAGAGGTTCTTGAGGGAAAAAACTGGGAGAAAAGAAGAAATGAGATAATACTCTTCAAAAAGATATGTACTCATTACTTGACTTTTGTAACTGTAACCCCCTCCTCCATACCTTGCCTTTACAATAGCAAAAGTACAGAGAAAAACATTTTTCTACCCCAAAAGGAAAAAGTAAACCAATGGATAATAAAAGGCAAAAAAAATCACACTTGGGATATGACTAATTAAATAGAATTCTAAACATTCACACAGTGAGACCAAAGGAGGATATTCTTAGGAGAGGATCACAAGGGCTCAATAGCTATGTGCAAATGGTCATATAAAAATGATGCATATAAAAATGAAGCCCGATAAGTAGAAATAAGAGTTTTTCATCTTACTTTTGTATTTTTCTATTTATTTTCCCTTTTTTCACTGTATTTGATTTCTGTACCTTAAGTTTATCTGATTTGAGGAAGAGAAGGGGAAACATAGAAATTGTGGGACAAAGGGTGAAGTAATTCAGCAGTGATACTCACTAGACACTGTGTTGGAAATGAACTTTACTACTGGGGGGAGGGAGTAGGGAGGAAAAACTGAGAAAAAATGAGGAAGGTGTGATACTGTTCAAAAGAAATGTACACAATACTGATTTATGTTATTGTACATCATCATTATAATAAAAAAGGAAGAAAGCATGCATAACTTCTACCAATTGAAAATATATCTTATACTTCTAGGTATATAACTGTATTAATGTTATAAGGGAAAAATAAAGGCAAATATTAATGTACCATGGACTCAATTTGTTCACTCAAAGTTCTATATTCCTGTGTAGCTGGTGAACTTAACTCATCAGTATATTCAACATTTAATATTTGAAAGCTGCTACGGTAAAAACATGCTTTTCGATCTGAAAAAAAGGAAAAAGTATGATTAGTGTTCATTACTAAGTACTAAGTAGTTTAATCTTTCATATAGTCAGGATTGTGGAAATTTATACTGCACAATTAAATTTGCTTTCCTGAAAAGAAAAGAGAATTTCATATTCAACATATATGGGAGTATAATAAAACTCTCTCTCTGTCTTGTTTTAGTTTTCTTTTGGCAAGATATCACTGTTTATCTCAGGCTGTACTTTCAACTCCCCTAGTTAGTCTGTTGAGTGCTGTGATTGCAAATATTCACTACCCCACTGGTTTTTCTTTTAAGTTTTTAAAATCATTGCTAAAGTGAGGCCTGTTAAGAATGTGCAAAAAATCTTAGTAATACTATTATTTGAAACATTAAAACTGTCCAGAATTGCTCTAATTTTATTCACATTACATCTTAGGGATATTTGTGGTTCATTGGTTCAATAGTATTTATTAATAGCTGTAATATATTAGTCATTTATAACTAAGGAAGAATTTAAGTCATAGTTAAAATTATTCTAAATAGTATTCTTTCAGATTAGCTATGTTGTCAGTTTACTAAGCTAGAAAATAACTGACAACATATTTAATCTGGTTGTACATTATGAATTATTTTTCATCATGACAAATGAGATAGAAATCCCTAAAATGCATTTGTGCACAACTCAGAAACATCATGAATATGGATATAAACTAGTAGATCGTGCTTTCATTTGATCACTTACTTGCATAAAAATATCCTAATTAAAGAAAGATGTTGGTAACCCTAAGGGGAAGGTGATCCTCTTTATTAGGGCAGGGGCAAACCAGTAATTTTTGGTCCACAAATGATCAATAGACTACAATTGGTGCAAGATTTACTTGGCTTCTATCTTGTATTTTACTGGAACATTACAATGTGATTCAGAATAAATACATTAATCTCAAACTCTATGTCCTCATTTTTTCTACTCTGTAATTTATCTTAGGCATAGTTACTTTAAAGTAATTAGAACACAAACTGTTATCAAAAGTAAAATTTAGACAAATTCTCAACATTGGATCAGTTTAGATGTTGCTTCCTTATTACTATTTTTCTCTTATCTTGGTATTTTTATTGTACCATTGGAAATTTTCAAACTTTGTATGGTTAGTCATTTTTTCCTGTTTACAATAAGACATTCTAAAAATTCTGTTCTTTCTCTCTTTTCTCTTCACATTCTCATATCACAGGGCACACATATACACAGGATCTAAATAATTATATCCAAAATAAAAATAATAAGATAAAATAAATAATAATACAAATGTTATCTTGTTTCCTTGTTATAAGCTCTTTGTATTGTTTTCTCCTGTTTATGCTTTCCAATTTTATTAGCAATATGAAAAATTGAAAAGAGAAACAAATAAAGCTCATAATCTTTTTCAAAATTTGGAGCATTACCCATTTTTACTTCTCAAGTGTAAATTTATCTATTGGTTATTCTCACCACTGTAAAAATATATGTGTTTTAAGTATTATGAGCATGAATTACCAGGTAATTAGATATTTCCTAATTCTGAGTTATGAAACATGCTTGTTTTTGAAATATTTTACTCTTGATTTTGTCAGTTTATTGGATGAAAAAGTAATCAAGATATTAACAAAAACAATAGTAACCAAATATTAGCATCCAAGGAGCAGGAAATAAAAACACTTTTCATTTGTCTGCAATGGTCTTTGCCAGGATAACCATATTTGACTTATTAGAAAGTATGCTTTTTATATCAAAAGAGGGATAATATACCAATAGAAAGGAAATATAGATATGAACATATATTCAAAGAAGAGCTCTAATATGACCTCCTCATGTTCAGAAATAAATGTACTAACACAACGGAGAAGATCAAAATTTTAATCTGAAAAGTGATAATCACTGATACTTACCAAAAGCTAGAAAATGAATAAGTAAACCTATGGCTATTGCCACAATCGCCACCCCTGCAATCACTACAAAAGCGACAACAAATGGATTCAGGAATCTTGAATTTGACACCGCCCGTGCTGGCCTGAGAAAAGGAAGAAAAGTAAAATTGACTCGCTTTACTAGAAAAATCCACCATTTTACCATTCCTGGTCATCTGTCTGTCTTTGTGGTTGCTCAGCTTGCACATAGATATAAGTATAGAAATGTAGTCCTGGAAATGAGCCTGAACTGAACCAGCCCCTCTACCTCACAAGACTCTTTTGAGGATTAAGTTAGACATCATAAAGCAAATAGTTCTGGGTTTGGTTTTGTTTGGGGGCAGTACTGAGGATCAGTGTCAGAGCTTTGAGCTTGCAAGGTGGATACTCTGCCCCTTGAGCCACACATACCATACCTCCAGTCCTTTTCACTTCAGTTTGTTTTTGAGAGGGCCTCTCACTTTTGCCCTGCCTCCCAAGTATCTAGGATAACAGTTTCACACCTTACCCCAAAGTAAATATTTCTAGTTATATAGGATATTCTCTAAGCTGCAAATACCTCAAATCCAAAAATGCTTTTCATGTTGGTGTCTGTAGCACCATGGTGCCTGGTATGTGTAGGTATTTTGCAATTATTTATAATATTTATAAGTATTTGTCTTATGTGTTAACACTTGAGCATTTAAAGCCTTATCAGAGTTTAGAAGCAGCTACGTTAATCGGACTTTCATTCTTTCTGTTTTCTGTTGTCCACATTTTGATGTGAGATGGGACTGTTTTTTTTTTTTTATTGTGAAA